AAGACTTAGAAGGATGTATCGTTCCTGACTATCTCGCGTCTGACTTACTTCTGCGCCTTCTTAGGAAAGGTTCTTGACACGCCGTTGTTGTAATATCACACGCCTTAAACATTAGTTTGATTCCTAAGTAGAACCGAATACCCTCATTACATGCGGACTGTGTAAACCCAATAAAAACACGTCTTCGTCTACGAATTCCAAGGCATAACCGGCATTCTTCAGGGATGCGCTCAGTTTGTTTACCACTGCTATCGATGTGTCCAAAGATACACCATATGACGAAAAAATGAAATGAAAAGCGGGCAGGAGATACAGTAATTTTAAACGTGTACTGAACGCCCAGGAATGGGCAGAATTTTTGGGGATCAAATTTTATCTAATTTTTCACCACCTTTCACGCTGACTTGAGTTAAATGCTTAGTGGCAGAGCAGCGAAATGATCGAGAATTCCGCATTGGAAAGCAGTGAATATCCTACTGAGGAGAAGAATACTAGGTCTTAGCGGCCATTCACAATTATATACACACCGGCAGCTGTGTTTTCGACGGCTAATCTCGAAGCCACATTTTAGAATTGTGAAACAATTCTTTGAACAAGGAACAAGGTTACGGAAGTTTCAAATGCATGATATGTCATCCACTCGATCACCTATCCACATCGATTATCTAGGGCCAGTATAAAACGATAGGGAAGCAGGTAATGCGACAGACCCATAGACGTGACATGAGGGTTTGTATCATTTATGCATGGATTTGTTTCCCTCATTTCATAAAACGCTAGCTGAAATCTTTCAAAGTCACTCATCTGGCAGACTCAGCCTCAAGTAGTAGTATCGGAAACAGTTCCCAGATGATACCTATGTAGGTTGCCTTTTATATTTCAGGATTAGAGAACAAAAATAAATATTAAACATTGAAAATCGCGCCACTGCCTTTTAGAAACCTCCACATTGAGCTCTATACACTTTTGGAGATGCGTTCGAACCAATTCTCGAAGCACTTTTGCCATTCTGATTGAGGTAACTCCAAAACATATATTCTGAACGCATCAACGGCTTCCTCAGGTGTCGAAAAATGTTAACCTCTCATTTTATTCTTTATGTACGGGATAAGAAGAAGTCACCCGAGGAGTATATGGCTGATGACTCATCAAACCGTCGTTTTGAGTGCTCAAAAATGCAGTTGTTTGAGCCGATGAGCGGGAGCTCGCATTGTCGTGGTGAAGACTGATCCTCCTTCGGCAGTTGGTTTTCCTGATTTTTTGGAAGGCTACTGGCAAACAAATGGTTGTATACCACTGTTCTGCGTTGTTCTAGTGGTACGCTTGCGGCATGTCCAGTTTTCCCAAAAAAACAGGAGACCAATTGCTTGGAATTGCTTGGTGTGCGGACAGCTTTTGTTGGATTTGGCTCATCTTGAAATACCCATACGGTCGACTGCTGTTTACTTTCGGGCTCATACGCGTGAACCCATTATACATATATCACCTGTCGCGATTTCATAGACGTGTTTCGAAGCACTGCGACCGTATTTTTTTGAGCATTTCTTTCGACAAATCGACACGAGTCCTCTTTTAGAGGGGTTGACGAATTTTTCAAAACGATTTTTTTTACAGTCAAATGTTCATGCATTATTGAATGTATGTTGGTCCCTTTAATGCCTAAAGCTGTCCCAATCTCACGATAGGTCACATGACGATCTTGCAATATTAGTTTGCGCACAGCATCGGATCAACAACTGATTTTGGAGACCTCCACGAAATTCGTCTTGGAGTGAACTACGACCTCAGGTAACTTCACCAAACTATCGATAAGCACTGGTCCTTGATAGAGCCTCACCGCCAAAGGGGGAGGGGGAAGTTAAAAGGGAAGGAGATTTCACCTAAGTGGTGGGTGGGGGCGCCTAGGGCCTGAGTAAATTTTTTAAGTTAGTGTAAACAACACAATGAGCGCGCTCATATGTCAAAACGTCTTGAGCAAATATAACTTCAAAAGGGTCAAACTTTATGATAGAGCTGTCAGTTGCCAGATTGCAACACTAGGGTTGCTCAATCCCAAAATATAGAAGGCAACCCTCGCAGACCTACGTTTTTAAAGGCCAAGGGATGCGACTTTCCAATGAACGCTTAATCAGGCTGCTTAGAATGCTTCATTATGAAGGAGTGCGTATCCTTGGATAAGATTTGGTCCTGATTTCTGCTCCATTTTTATTGAACTGACGTCTTTCTCCGAGAAGCGTATACAAATGATAAGCACCATGTGATCACATGTGACACCTAACGCGTCCTAGGCAGGTGGGATCTTATACAGTGTGAACAATGCTTGGAGAAAAACCCTTTTATATCACTCACCACTATAGCCTCTTCAGTCTTGATAGATGAGCACACCACTGTAAGGGGGCCAAGACGGATCGAACTCAGTATAAACGGTCTTTCACAGTCTCTCCCGAATTAAGTTGCCGTCCCGATTTAATATCTATATTCGACAGCAATCATGTGAAGTTTGTTCACTGTACATGAAAGTGCACAAACTTCAGCTATCCTTCGAATTTAAAAGGGCATGAGGGATGAATTGGAAAGCCTTTGATTAGCTCTCCCCATTCTTTTAGCGTCAAAAAGGCACAAGGTTCGTTCTCGAGATGTGCCTATCGCTGTGACATCTTTGAGCAGACCAGAGAGTATCATATCTTTCACCTGACTGTTGCAACTGGCTTTTCATAGAATGAGGGTCATGCGAGATAGGAGTTGGACCGAATGCTGAATCCGAAAAACGCTTTTTGTAGTGCGTGTGATCTCGAAGCGCACTACAAAAAGCGTACTCTGTTATGCCCGTCCGTCAAAAAAACGTTCTTATTGTATTTGTTCAAAAAATTCTTTTTCTACGACGAGCATCAAGTGAGAGCGATACCCAACATTGCGAAAAATCCATTTCGAGCTTAGATCTCCGATTTCTATTTGGTAGAACACTGAATCCTTGGCGGAGAAGGGAAAGAGCAACACAAGGACTCCCTTTGACAAGATACACGTAATTTCATAAAAATTACTAACCAGTAAGTTGGGCTACCGCTACCTGAAAAAAGGGAGAAAAGGCTAGGAAACACGAACACAGGACATAGCCATGTTATAGGCAGCGACAAAGCTATCACCGAAGCACAACAACGAGCCTGTAGAAGACGTCTAATTCTCTTGAGATATGAACCAGCTCTATATATTAAAAGCAAAGTAGTGCAAAGTAAAAGTAATTGCTTGATATGTATTCTTCACTTAAGGATTACGACTCATTTCCTCAAGACTCTCCTAACAGAACGCCACGAAAAGAGTGCAAATACATCAGAGACTAATGTAACAACGCATGACGGTTTCAGAGAACAGGTTTGAAGAAAACAGCACATCGGTAATAACGATAACGATGACTAATGGTTATTATGATTAAGGATTTCAATAAGGTTCTATATTCGCAACAAGGAAAAATCTAGTGGGCATAGAACTGTCAGATAAGTTCGACATTTTCTCAGCAACTATTTGAAGAACAGAACTATTCCACACACAACCTCTGATAGATACAGCATTTTTTTTTCTTCAACCTGAACTAAATTTCAGTGAACTATCATGCTCTATAGTAATAANCCATTTGGAAATGGTGTAAAGTCAGGGTACGGCAGTGCCAATGTCGTAGCAAGTGGGTGATTTTCTCCCTTTTTGTCGAGCTCCTCTAAATTACGAAATCGAAAGTATTTGACTAAACTTGTGAAACTTATCAGCAAACATCAGTGCATCGTCACATCGGACGACTGGTACCGAAAAAAAGCGCTGGTATTTGGGCCCATTTCCCCATCTAGGGTAGAAATGAGTCAGTTGCGCTCACAATCAGATGCGAAAGATCCTGTTCGTGGTATAAAACTAATAGCATCTTCAAAAACAATAATAATGATAATATCACAAAATCTACTATTACAGGCTCAACGGCCGGGCCACTTCATGGGCAACTTTATGATTCATACGTACTTGATAAGCAAGCCGATGTGACGAAAAATTAGTCGTCACGAATCGTTCTCTCAAAACAAGCAATGGCAGAGTTGGATAACGAAGGACAAATGGTCTCCTGCAACTTACGTTGGCGTCATAAACGTTCTGGGTTTTTTCGGTTACTGTTTTTTATATAAGCCATGCATACGATGCACAAAAATAAGTTTTGGTTTTGACATGGTAAAACATCTACTTTGATAGTCGGCAGAAGAATCACAGTACTCTTTGTTGCAATATTATGGGAGAGGTAACCGGCTAGTTGTACCATTGAAAATATGAAACGGATACGTCCTGAAGTTTTCATTTAGCACTGAATGCTGTTGTCTTTCCTACAACTAATGTTTTTCATGCTCGATTCCTAGATCAAAAGACTTCGCCGTTGTCGGCTTCTGAAAAGAGCATCTCTGGTATTTCCCCGCTCCTTCGTTGCATTTCATAGGTGGATCATGTTAGTATTGCTGACTTATTCCGAGACAAAAAAGTAAGTCTTCGGAAAAAGGCTGCGGACTGCCGATCACTTTACTTTGCAGCAGTGTGTCAATGCGTGAGATGGAAGCTAAGGTTTCGACTTTTTGGAGTGTTATTTCAAGTGCGAATCATTTTCTTTTCGTTTTCAGTTAACTAATGTACAAAATAGCTAGAGCTGCTTCCGAAGGTGAGTGACATTCATTACAAGCAGGTTTCATATTGCTCTACAGCATTTGTTTTGCCCGTTCCGGTCCTACGACCGCAACTGCCATCACCCCCTGTCCATAAAAGGGCATTGAAAAACAGCAACGGGACTCAAACTTTTTGTCATGACCCATGAGTATACTTTTTCATTCATTTCACTGTGTAAACTATTAAATTCATCTTCATGAAACTATATTCAGCATAGTTAGTTATTTGACACAGCAGTATTTCGGAAGAAATTGTGTAGCTTCAGCCCTCGTATAGTGCAATTGTGTTTTTACGTACAGCACCAGAGAAAGTTTCAGATGGAGAAGCATCTCGCCAATATCACCAGCGGCGCGGGGCTGGTGGTCGTCGCAATCTGCCTTCTTTACATCCCGTATCTGTACAATGCGACTGATGCAATCACCAACGACCTTGCTGTGAAAATGGATGAGTTTCGGGTAAGATTAGTAAAATATTTACTCAAGTCGCAGATATTTTCACGGTAGAAAAGTTAGCTACAACTTCAGACTGGGCTAGANTGACCATACAACAGAACTCTGTAGCCACAGACACACAGTCCTGTTGAATAATTATTTACTTCCGTTTCTGATGAAACTTTTGTAACCCTATGCATGTATGACGTCGATCGGCAATATTCTTCCCCCTGTGTGCATTCCTTGTTCAACAGACTAGCAATGGTTTCCGTCTACTCTTGTTTCGAAACCCTACAGCTCCCTTTAAGGTTCGCCAGAATGAAGTCTCTGAAAGCCTAAGAAGAACCGGCAGCCAGTTTATAACCATCCGTCGAGAAAGACAGGTTCAAGGCGTATGCCAATGCAGTGGAACGAACCAATGTCCTCCAGGGGCACCAGGTGCTCCCGGAGCTCCAGGAGTGCCAGGAGAACCCGGAAAGCACGGTACCAAAGGCCCACCAGGTTAGTACCAATTCTTTTCCACCTAGGTATCCACACTTCTGTCGTTGCTGAAAGAATCCGCTTGAGGTGTTCCCGGCATCGTTCCACCATTGCCGATTATGGAAGATACTTCAAAGTGCAAAGTCTGTCCTCCTGGACCAGTTGGACCCCCTGGACTACCTGGGCCAGCAGGACCACCTGGTGGAAAAGGAGTGCCCGGGCAACCTGGAATGGATGGTCACCCAGGTGATCCAGGACCTCCTGGTGAGTGTTCTGCTCCTTTTTGTATGCCCCTCATAACTGTGTGGTCAGTTAGTCATGTGATTGAGGTATTTATAAGAAGGGGAATGAGAAAAGGATCACTAATGAACATTGTTAAATTTTGAAATTAAACCTCTTTTGCAGGAAAAGGTCGATGGTAAAAAGATGATATTAAATTCTGATAGCAATGTTTTAACATTAGGGCTGTTGAAAATTCCTACTAAGAGGAAACATGTAGCTTTAGTAGTGCTCATAACGGAGAGCACCTCTAAAACTTGTCGCATTATCCGACAGTGGTTTGCATAAATTCCATAATCGCTATTATTAAGGTAATCCCGGCACACCTGGCGCTCCTGGACTTCCCGGTCCACCTGGAATACCTGGTGAGCCTGGAAAGGATGGAGAAAAAGGCGGACAAGGACCTCCAGGACCACCTGGACAAGCTGGTCCACCAGGAGGCCGTGGTATTAATGGAGAACCAGGACAGGCTGGACTGCCTGGAGAGCCCGGCGTTCCTGGTGAGGCTGGTATACCTGGCGAGAACGGAAGTCCCGGCCAGCCTGGAACTCCTGGCCGTCCCGGAACTCCCGGAGCTCCAGGACCTGACTCGCTTTACTGTCCTTGTCCAAGACGTGGAAAAGCCAAGGTGTCAAAGAAAAAGAAGGCCTAATGCAAAAACTTGGGCGATGAATCGAATAAATCTTTTTTTGGAAATGACACTCTTCATTTGAAAGTAATCTTCATCTTTGAAGTACACAAATACATCATACAAACAAAACCCGCATACAGTAGCAACATTGCAACACATTTTTTTGAACCATCTTCCTTTGGAGGGTTGAAGCAAACGACCGATAAGCAGCACGTGCGTGAAGCACTTTTCCTCCTTCTTCTGATGGTGAATCCGGTACCAAGTGCCCGTGTTAATACTCCAGAATTGATATGATTCATCCTCTACACCGTCGAGATTGAAGTGAATAGAAAACGTTGATGTGGCCTACTATAAATGTGCTTCCGCACATCATTATTCAGTACGGCATACAGTATCCAGTTACCTAAAAAGGAAACTTTCCGTGTACTATTAATACACAGTAATGAATGCCTTAACCCACCGGCTGCATTAATGTAGGGAAGGCAGTTGGCGAACAAGCGACAATAAATGTACCTGAAAGAAGATCGTGTGGGAAGAGTTCAACACATCACAGAAAAGTAATCTTTGCTACCCAAGTGGCCCCGAGAAAGGTTGATTTTCTATTCTCACAATATTTAGTAAAGAAAACATTTACTGCAAGTATTATTTCCTGAAGAGACATCTCTTATTCTTCGCTATTCCAACATAATGATGATGCTTACCGCCGGAAATTCCCCCATGACTAAGTTTATGAGGGTTAACGATGATATGGTAGCTCTCCATATCCCGCAGTTTGAGTTCATGAAAAATATCGTCTTCATAACTATTTTCATCGGGAACATCTTCGTTTCCACGGCAACAGAACCTCAATAGCTCGCATTCTTTTGTTTTTGTCATCCTTATGAGATGCCCTGGTTAACGGATATTGAAGATGCCGTTAACAAAACTGCCATTCCGACTGACTGACTGCAGATATTCGGAATGTTTTCAACTCTAACGAGAGGAAAGGATTCAAAGTCTCGTGAATGGTAGTCATAAAAACTGCTTTGTTCAGACTCTCATTAACTATAACGAAGGTTTGGCTCGTTGAGCTTTATACGCTTTGTTAACACAAAGAGAAGAGGCCCTTTCGATTCAGACCTTTTTTCCATGTATTAATTAGAGGATGAGCTCTCACCACAAAAACCCTAGAATCGGTTCCAGCGATTTTCATAGCCCTCCTCATCATGTTCTGCAGAATCAAATGCTCCTCAACTTATGTAAAGGCAACTAAGAAGATCCAAAATTAATAAGCCCAATCCTTGACCATCGCGACCAGGTACTCAAATCCTTGCTTTGTTGTGATTAGGATGGGGCGATTGTGAGTGTATTGGAAGTCATTTTGAATGTCTATTTGACTGGAAATCATTCAAGCTCCTTTCTTCTTGAAGTTTGCCAAATTCGCAACCTGACGGCAGGATTAGTAAGAGAGCATAACTCCTAACTTAGAGTGCCCACTAGGGACTAGGTTCGAGGGAAGTAAGCCTTAGCTAACAGTGATTTCCATGCCGACCGGATGGAAGTGCCGAATTTCCTTTTCATCAATTCTCCTCTTATTATTTGAATTAACTAATTCCGCAAAGAAATAAGCCCGAAAGTTGCTAAGGGTCAAAATTGCGTTCCAAAATTTCCCGTCAATATTTGGGACGGGATGAGCAGATAAACGAATTTACGACGAAAGAATGATAGGATTCGTCAAGGTGCCTCTTTAATTAAATGGTATAGTTTCACTTTCAATCCAAATGTGCTCACTACTGTTTGAATGAATCGTTATTCCCCTGCGTCCTTAATAAAGGAACCGGTTTAGCACGATGCCCTTCCTTGCCAAACCTATTAACGTTTAATATAAGGCAGCTGCAGGAACAAAGTAACGCCAATTGGGGAAGGGAATGAGTCTTGTTTTGTCGGTATCGGGTATATCCTTAATAAGCCCTTCGTCCAGGCAAAAGGGTCGATTTCTGCGTGTAAGTTTTCACCTGATTTGGGTCCATTGTGACTGAGTCAACTTAGATTGAGTACATTACTATCTAAGGCTGTTAAATACTATATTAGACATGTAGTCTTCGAGATAAAGCTAACAAACATGACATAGATACCAACCATGTGGATCTTACCGAAAAGGAAACTAGTCTTCGTCATTGGAGAAAGAAAAGACTGAGTGGCAATAGAAAATCCCATTAGCAAAACAACCAAGAACATGCACAGGTAAGGGTGAACAACTAGCATTTGAAAACTGCTCACAGCAGCTGCCGCTAAGGATTCAGAGCAAAGTTGTATGCGTACAGCATATTTGGACCACCATGGCTGGAGAGATGAGATGTGGGAAGGCGCCTGATGAAGCTCCAGGGATGTCAATAGTCCACGTAAAGTTACAGCTTACTGTGAGAAAAACAAAAGAAAAGTTGATTGAGGAGTGCACGCTATTTTTTGAATACGAGGAGCGGAAATCCTGTTCAGTTCCCCGAACCATCTCCACCTTCAACTTGCCTTGGAAGATCCGGTTTGCTTAATCACCTCTAGGATGATTGCGGGAGCACCCACTTGATCTGAGCAAACACCCACACTTAATCTTAGGCTTTCATGCCTGCAAAAATTATTCTTTTGCAGCACAGCGCAGTGGAACCTCGCTGGAAGAAAAATACACAACGTTTCGTATTGTTACTTGCCAGTTAAGAAGCACATTATTTTATAAAAAATACAATTTTTTTCGATAAGCGTGCCTCTTGAGATTCCCCACTTGAGCTCAATTAAGCTCCATGTTCGGGACATTTTGACTGAATGGCCTCGTGAACACTCACTACTAGGCATTATTAGCAAGAGTGGCCTCTCCCCCTATCGTAGCTCCCAGCAAGGTCACTGATGTGCATGAGGGATGGAATCAATCAACAAGGCAGGGAAATCAAGTATTTTGGCAATACCTGGCGATGTCAAAGTACGGAGGACTTTCCTAGGACAGTACGAAATTTCCATAAGATTTACTGTGAATTCTACGAAAGGAGTTCTGGAAATAAAAAAAAAATGAAAAACTTCCTTCATCGCCATAATTTATTTAGAATATTAATTTAATATAATCCGCTCAGAATAGATCTAATCCACCAAGAATCTTTCTCTTCCTGAAATATGCCACCCACTATCCGCGACATATTTAGCCCATTTCCCTACAACATTATTCAGGAACTGCCTTTATTGCTTAGGAAAGATATTTTCAAGTTAATGTTATCAACGAGAATCAAGGGAAACAAAGTTGAAAATTTCTAATTTCGTCAATGCCGTAGATAGCTTTCACGAGATTGGGAAGCAATTTAATCTCTCTCAAATACGTCTGTACAATTGACTTCGGAAATCAAACACTCACCATCCAGGTAATCGCTCGAGAAATGCGTGGCCCCAAAGCTGAGCGATATAGTGCGGCACGATGGCAAACGCCCAGAATGGTGCCCAACAGACGAAATGGAACACTGCTATCCGCCAGATGGACTTGCGCATTTCATGCATGTATCGCGGTTCACGAAGTGTCTTTGTTGAGCTCACTGCAACTGAAATCATCGAATATAAGTGGCCAATGAACTGCCACAACGATATGGCGTTTGACTCAAATAGATTGTCTCCTGTGGTATGCCTGGCTATATTACTAACAATTGTAAGTCGTACTTTCCGCTTTACAAGTGTGCCACCGTGAACGAAGAAAATCCAATGCGAAACAGGGACTGAGATCAGATTAGCGAATAAACAGTTTACTCCCCCCTTACGAGCATAATTTTGGGGATAACAATGTGATTAAATTCCTCATACGCAGCTCGCTGGTGGCGGTACTTTTTTCCGAATTCCCACGGCGAGCGGTAGTGGTCCTGCGGCGACCATCGCATCCTTCCACAAGACTCAAACTTTTCGTTCATAACGTACGACTGCGCGAGATATGGTGCGGCGAGAGCAACGCGATTTTCGGGGAGAAGTTACCACACTCACTGTGTCGTATAAATAGTAAAATGTTGTCAGCTATCAGCAGTATCCACTTACTTTATGGTGCTGTCCCGTCAACACCCACTGATAACCCAGAATTCAGAATCCTCTTCCTATAACAGGCATCCTTCTCCAATTTTCGCGCCTGCTTCACTGCACAAAGTGTCTAGCAATGATTCAATCTTTTCAATCCATAGATCGATATGCGTCGCTATTGATTGATTGGAGTTATGGTGGCGAACCAGACACCTATTTTATGATAGATGACGTGTAATGATGCAAGTAACATCGCTCTTCATAAGCCTACTCCTAATTGGTACTATATCAGATAGCGGTTGGTTTCCATATCGCTACTTTTGTCATGATCCTTTTCTTAGCTGTACTCTTACAGAATGCTACCGACTGTAAGCGAGAACCAGCTGAGCGGGTGAAGCTCAGATTTCGTATCGAGCTCTACCCATTTCAAATAATTTTGCGTGACCAAACGGCTCCCCTGTTGTAGAATGTGTTATTGCTGCAAATGAAATTGGAGAATTTTTCCTAGAATAAGATTGCTTTTCATTCCTCCATGGGTGTTCTCGATTGTCGAATAAACTGGGTAGTTTTATTAGAGCTTCTATGAGAATCTCAAGAATAAAAGGAATGTTCGGTCGATATCCAATTCATAGCAATTGGATGGGTTGGTGTGAACGACTATGGGAACGAAGCAGTACAAGCGGAAGTTCCTGAATCATTTAGTGGGGAAGTGATGATTAATAAGCTAGCGCTGCTTAATAGAAGTGGTGTAGTCTAAAGATTGTGAGAACAGAAAAGGATAGCAGTCGAGTTTGAAGGAAGTTGCACAAAAGTACATAGAGCCAATCGGAACGTAGAATTCCCAGTCTGGCAGCTGATCTTCGGAATATAGTCTTCAGTACTATGATACTCGTCAATTATGGAAACTATTAAGTGATTAATTCTGACGACTCCGAAATCTGTGCTACCCATGATTCGTCCTTATAGATGCAAGCGACAGCGCATGGCTTCGTTTGACTCCCCCAGACCATATCGATGTAGATAGAGATCATCCTCGGGGGTATTTCTGACAACCCTCTCCTCTTGCTAGCTATCGCAATAGAGCAACACGAATAGCACGATTCCCGAGTTTTCTTTCTGGAACGGATCTGTGACCTCTCAGGATGCCACATGGGACTTTGTCGGGTAGGGAAATGGCCCACATAGGGCGACCGGGTATAAATTCTGATTCCACATTCCCAAACAGAAATGAGATGGGATACGTTTCAGTACGTATGAGCGGAAACAACTGAAATATGAGTGATCCATTGACCTCAGTGGCGGTATGTACTAGATATGGGTATGTATAAAGCCGTAACGATACGGCGATCGGATCACAAAATTTAAAGGAAGTGTTCGTCGTTGTTTGTTTCTCATGATAAACTAGATGTTTTCTATCACGTTTTCAGCTTTTCACAATGGCAGTGCTAAGCCTAGATAGTCGCGGTACCAGGAAATGATGTATTTCATAAGTCTTAGATGATGTGGGTATGTATGGGAGATTATTGGGGATAAGCGCAGATCATGTGAGAACAGCCTTCGAAATCTGACAGGATGCAAAGCAGAGTCAATCTAAGCCAAAGCAAAGTTGAAATCATTTCCCGAGAAAATATACAGAGTGAACTTAATCCTGGCGCTGATGAAAGTGTTCAAAAATGAATCACATCATTTGGTTAGTATTCACCATAGAGCAAAACATGAAATCAGAAGCCTATCACGGCTTCTAAGCTTCCTGTCGTAGAATCGGGGAAATAGGCTTTTCTTTCCTCGAGCATGACTCCCACAACTTTAACACTGCATGGCAGTGGCCGGCTCACGAGGGCACAAGTGCTGTCACCGCCAGTAGGATGCGATCAATCCTTTCTTGGTGTTCATGAGTTCTACCTTTTGGATTGTTGTCTTCTAAGGCAGCAAGTGATGAAGTTTATATACAACAAAGATCGAAGTAAGGACAGTGTAGGAGAATGGTAAATGGACGAAAAGGCAACAAAAGAGGGGTTGCTCAGAGTTGACTAATTATTAGGTGTTCGAAACAGATCAGCGCCAATTCCGAGAATGGGTACTCATTCGTACGTCTACTTTTCGATATTCAAAACAGTTTTTATGTCAGTTAATCAAGCCCCAGGGAAATGAAAGCACCAGTGATTACAGTGATGTGCATTTCCCAAAATAAACAAGCATAACATCTCATCAACAGCCATTTTGCTACATCAAGACCAATTCTGGGTAATGACGCTTGGATAGTTTAGTGGGTAAGAAGAGAGTAAGCCTATGCCTTCTATTAAACATTGATGATCTCGAAATCTACATCAACTTGGAATCAGGAGGGCAATCCATTTCCTTATGCAACTTTCTCTCCCTTTTTTCGTGAAACAGCCACAGCCGGCTCGACTGGGCCGGTCATGGGCTAGAAGGAGAAGCACATTGAATTTCTTTGCACGTACGATAACCTCCATAGCTTCCTTGCCCCCTTCTCCCTGTGCGGGTGATGAATGTCTCTGACAGGGCCGCTATGACGATTGTCTATTTGTCTACTCGACTAAACCGTCGCTAGTAGTAACCCTTGGCTAATCGCGTATTCTTCCTGTCTCCTTCAGTACATCATCTTCATGAGATTTCGGAAAATCTTCATATAAATTTTGGCCATGATCAGGCAGAAAAATGAAAAACCTCCGCCTTCAAGTGGATGGTACATCCCTACACAGAAAATGAGAGGAGAAAGGTTGTGCTTCTTCAAATCTAGAATAAGGTCGTTCAAAGGAATTTAAGCCAGTTTCCAGTCAGGCTCATGTGACCTCCCTATTAAGGAGAAGGGCACGTCTTATTGACAAAAAGGAAGAGTTCACCGAAGTTGCTTTATTAGCCTCATCACAAGAACCACCGTGAAGGACAAGGAACCGTTTCGAGAACACAGCCCAAGAAAGACTCACCAAAAATATGAGAAAAACGATATTTGTAAGGAAAAAGCAATTTCCGCTTACCTTTTCGGTTCTTGAATTTAGCTCGCACGTGGCGAACAAGAAGGATGTAGCAGACGGTCATCAGAAAGAATGGTACCACAAAGCCGACGACAAACGTATACTGTGCATACATATTGAAGACGTGATCGTCCATATTCGGGATACACACGGTGATATGTTCCTGAAGTAAAAACGTTTCATTCGACTGGATTGATTTCTGTTGAAGCGAACTTGTTAGATGGGAACTTCTATTGTTTTTGGACCTTGACTTCGAACTTTTTGTTTCCTTCCAATGCGAACTAATAGCTTTTGTCTTGAACGCAATTTCACATATACATACAATGAGGCTTGATTGAGGCTTTCCTGCTCAAGCTCGAAGGTGGTAACAAAGGGCGTGAGATAATGCTCCATAGGGGCGAGCTTCGGCGAGTGCAACATGACTATTGTCAAGATTTTCAAGGAGCGTTCTAGACATCACGCGACTAAGGAAATACTGAGGGACAGAAGGCGTTTTCGCTTACAGTTCGTCGATTTCAATGCATTGTGCCATCATTAGGCTCTTAAAAGGAGAGTGATGGTTGATTTGAACAGCCAGGCAACTACAGAAGTTGCATCCAACAAACTCCTATGGCAGAACGGATATTCCAAATGTAAAGTAAAGGTTCGTGGCGAAGGACAGAAATTTGCATGAGAATATAAAGCGCCTCACAGCTCGATACCACTTCCCACACACATATTTAGGGGTCCTCACAAGGAAAATGAACCGGTAATACTGTGGTCCTAGGTCACATGTCGACAAAGCCAGTCAGGCCGTCCCGGACTGATGGAACAGTAGTGCTTCTTCTTGAGAAAGTAGGACCCCTCATCCATCGAATATATAATTCTCTCTGTTGTTAACCCTAGAAATTTCGTAGCAATTCCTTCGAATGAACCTTTCTCGAAGCATTACAACTCAACTTGACACTTTAGAAATGTAAGGTTGTCTGAATTCAGCAGAGTTCTTCATGTTTGCGTAGGATCAAGAGGGCTTGCGGCGAAAAGATGCTGACATTTGCATAATCCTTCGGAAAATGCTAAACATTCATAACAAGACATTACGTTGTGAGGGAAACCTTTGGTGATTGTGAGCGTTCTCTGACGGAATGCTGCGATCAGCTTTTTCGGTATACTCAGATTGAGCTCACTTTCGATAATGACCGGGAGCTTTTTACGGGACGTAACCATTTACTAATTATGGATAGCTATCCTTTGTTAACAGATGGTTACGATTGGATTTAAACCAATGAGTTTCTCGTTGTCATCTAAAGGAAATTTATGAACCCACTTACCATTCCCGGAATGGTGAATTGATGATGGATGATGTGAAAGAAATGGAACGTGGACGGCACTACCACACAGAACAACGTGCCAACGACTAATGGCACGGTGGTCATCCATGAATCGCAAGCCGTCCTCAATCTGGAATAGACCCTTACTACTGGATTCAATCCGAGGATCAGTAAAACTCCAACAAACCTTGTGCAAACGATGAAGTATCGCTCGAGACTCATCACGGTAAGCAAGACGATGGAGAAGAGTTTGGCGACAATTTCTATCGTCAAATGAGCGTAGCACATCTTAAAATTGACTCCTTTAAGTTTATCCTCTATCTAGGGCTATCCCGTAATGTCCTGCTGTGACAACAAGCACAATGTATTGGCGTCATTTTCTCGGTTAGTCGAGGTGCTAACGATGTTTTCGGCGGATTTTCCTGCATTGAGGCAAAGACGTTTACTGCAAAACTAAGTAGGTTGTCTATGGAATCCTAAGTCAACAACAAGATGATACTGCCTCTTAAATTTTGTCTAAATGAAATGTTGAAATGGGGAAGGTAGGCTTTTGGGCTTTAGGCTAAATGGTTGGCAACGCCTGGACTTCAGAACCCAATCAGACTGATGAATTCCCGGAGAAACCTTCGAAATCACCCGGTCATCAAAGTGAATCTCTACTTCTTGCAATTTTTTCTGTGACTTTGTTGAAAACCTTCGAACGAGTGAATTTCCCGCACAAGGGCAGTCCTAATGAAGAGAGAAACATGATCCCTACACTCATCGAACCTCAGCCAAAACAAATGCTATCCATTCCTCAATTTTGTCATCCCACACGAAAATCCACAGACAAGTTGTACGTAAAGCACCGCGTGGGGAGCTCTTTTTGAAGGATATCGATTTTGAAAATACCAGGACGACTGGGAGGATTGATGGTCTCATTTCCTAGTCTCGACTGTATGGAAAGATGCCCTCTAGTGCAATTAAGTTCGTGCAAAGTTACGGAAATTTCCTTCCAATTTAGACTCATATAGGAATAACCTCATTGAAATGGCGTGATTGCCTAGTATTAAACTTTAAAAACTTTCATTCAAAAGGTATCGATGAGGGCAGTGCAATTCCTTCGCGTTCACCTCGCATTAATGAAACAAACGGCTAACGAAATCAAAAGAAATGAGACCGTTTATAGCCTTTCCAATGATTTTAATTTTGAAGTAAAGAATGCAGTGATTTCAAGGAAGTCTCTCTGATTCACTCACGAATTCTCCGAAGATCCATGTTCCTTTGTAATTATAACTGGCGGTGAGCGGTAATGTGAGCAATAAAACGAGATCAGAGCAGGCGAGGGCAAAGATGTAAATCCTTGACCGCTGCGAGATGGTCAACCCAACTGTGACTTTGCTTAGAAGTCTGAAAACGAATGGTGGTCAATGGTGGTTCGAAATTAGAAAGTCAGGATGTTGACTGACCTGGCTTGAATAAGTTTGAAGATGATCCACAGATTCCCAGGGGTTCCAATTATGAACACAGCAATGTAGACGATCGTCATTACACCCTTGGCGTAATGCATATCAGAAACCTCGGATGATGAGCTGCTTTCCGAATCCGAATCGTCTACGTACTCCCCCATGATACTGCAATTCACAGAACAGTGGAAATGCTCGGGCAAGTTATTCTATGCGGAACAATCACATGGATGCGTTGTCGACGATAATTACCAGGCACGACGGAAGGAAAAGAAGGCTTCGAATATATCATGTATTTGAACGAGCAGATGAACTAATGGTCACTACTCAAAGTATCCCTAGAAATGCATCACTGCCATTCGGAAGATGTGAAATATAAAAAGAGAGAGAGGGGGTACAAGAGGAGAATGGTAGAAGTCACCGACCCTTATCAGTGAGGCTGGAGGGTGAAGGCTGAAGATACGAAAGCAGATACCACCACCACCGGCTTGCGACTAGATTTGCTGTCTGTCCCACGCCAGAATGTACAGCCTCCGAAAGGATTCCAACAGAATTATCAAAAGCATAATCGCTTCTTTCAATCATACAGAAGGCGGCGTCCGAATTCAAGCTGCAGATTATCTTACGGAATGCTGCAGCGTGAAGATTATTTTGCTTTTATGTGTACAATATTCGCCATCTCATCATCTAGATGGTTTGATCGGCTAAGTGACACTCGTTGATTCACGCGGCTAATCATTCTAAGGAGTCAACAACAGTGTGGCGCAATCCATAAAACATGATATTAGTAATGAGGTTTACATGCCCTGAATGGCACGTCACTCCCACGGATGATGATGATGATGGTACAAACGGCTTCTTCTTAATTAGAGTCACTATTAAATGTGGGAATACTCATTCTAGCCTGATTGTAACAACATCCTGTCCTTACCCTGAACTTTCGTATATTTTTACTTTCATGAAGGGCGACGATCGAAAAATCGGAGCATGCTCCGCATCGTTCACGTTTCTGAGCATTGGCATGATACAAATGGGAGGAAACCTGAGGAAAGAGTCGATCCAGAAGCTGTATTGGATCCAGAACCTCCGCGGCACAGCATATGCCCCATCCCTCTGACTCTTACCTGGGTTATTCGCTTGAACTCGTACTTCGAGGAGCTCCGCGTCACTACACTTATTATACATATATAGTTATAGAATATCTGTAATAGCTTGTATAACAGCAGCATGAGATGAAGCGTAAACAGCGGGCCTCTCCCTAACAACGACGGTATGACGGCATAGACGCATCACTACGGTTTTTAGAGAAGAAAAGCGAAAAGAGAATTCCTTGGAATCTGACGTCTTGTGCCTACCTTTTCTATCAGTTAGAATAGTTTTGAAAAGCTTGAAAATAGCGTTCAGCAAAGTGATATCCCAAGTTACGAGATATAATCCTCGACGATCACAAGGGAACACAGCCCATAATGAAACAGTGGGCGGAGAGAAGGTACGCCTTCAAAGGTGCACAGAAAAATTGGGGGACGGAAAAAGGGGTAATGATCAAATAGAGATTAGACCTTGGCCATTTAGAACATCGCACTAGACGGACTACGGTAGCCACTGTGAACACATACAGCAACTTTCACAACAACACGTGGGGGCTCGTTATGGGTACGTCTTCCTTGAAAAACATACGCACAGACAGACAGTAACCATCGTAACGGCGATGTACTCGAGCGCTAACAATGAGATAACAATAAGCAGTGCCTTTAGAGCATACGCGCCTTCTGTAATGACTTGTAGAGGAGCTGAGTTCGCTTTCAACCAACTCTTCCCAATGAAAGCAGAGGCGGGACGATGATCCCAACCTGGTGGCATATCCTGGCTCTAAAGTGGCTTATCTCATAGCGGTGCTCGTGGCTAGCTTATTCTGGCACTTACACATAAGCAATGAAGGCACCCACCTAGGATCTTTGATGTTCAGATCCGAAGTGGCGATTCACTTGAGGTGAAAGAAAGAGTGACAAAGAGACGCGATCCTCGAATAGATTTGAGCTTTTCCCTGTGAGCCCGTCTCAGGTGACCCCTCATACAGCCGTGATCGTAGACAAGTTTAAAAGGCCACGAAAAATCATGGAATAGAGTAAGTAAGCATACAAAAAGTGGTCCAACCCTTTTCTGTTTTGAGTGGATCACGCGCGCTGATCTGTCTATGTATCATAGTCTAAAACACCCTCCAAGAAACACCAAACATATAAATTTCGAGAAGAATAAAGAGAGCAGAGGTATGCATCGTTAAGGTTCACCACCTGTTGCCAACGTCCGTAACTTGCTGATTAACTACTCCAAGAAAAAGGCGGCCACTGCTTGAAAAATCTGCCCACAGCCCATCAGCCTTTGGGAGTACTCGAAGGAATCGTCAACATCCAATCATTTCACCGAAAAGCTTGTTCCCAACAATCGAATTGAACTATTCCTGCACCCTCATAAACTCTTTTTCAAACAGTTGGCTGAGAAGGCCCTCTGAGGTTGTCACGGAATCCTTACTTGGCTCTCCTTGGCATGTAATAAAAGGACAATGTCGCATTACATAAGCAGACATAACGATTCTTAAGCGGTTGTGTTAAATGGAAGTAACTGTTGACACAGCCACTAGTTGTGTAGCTGCTAACGAAATTGAAGGATAAGAGGGTGAAGTGCTTGAGGGTTGATCAATCCC